ATGCCCTTTGGATTAGGGCTGCTTTAGACCCCGTGTGATAAGGTCCTGTGTTACATTAGATCCTCACTTTCTGGAGGGATGTATCTTACCTGTAAGGCTGGAGAATACCTATTCCACCCCATTTTTCATTGACCTTTTGGGTGCCTCCAAGTTTCTCCTCCCAATCTTTTAAAATATCTAAATGAAGCTACTGGGTGAAAGTAATCCAGAGATTTTAGCCAAAGTATCATCCAGCTAATCTTATGGAGGGTGTGGGAATGTTAAATAGGTGTCTTGACACAGTTTTGATATACAAGATGAGGGCAAACAAACTGGTGCTTAATCTAGATAAGACAGAAAGGTTGTGGGTAGGGCAGCCTGTTTATTTATTTGTTTATTTATTTGGAGCATTTGTACCCCACTCACTCTTCACCTACAAAGGCTTTCAGAGTGACTTACAAATGGTTAATGAGACGGTTCCCTGCCCTCAGGCTTACAATCTAAAAAGACATGACACAAAAGGAGAAGGGAACGGCAGTGGGAAGGGGATCAGATCCAGCAGTTCTTCTTCTCTCCCTCTGGGGCCTGGACCATGGCAGATGGACTGGAGGGAAGGCTCTCCTTCTTAATCTAGGCTAGGCCTGATGGAGTTGACCTGCCTCTCTCCCTCTGAGGCCGAGAGGGTAATGCAGATAATATATTTGGATGGAAGTGTCAGGCCATTGTTGAATAGGATTGCACAAAGGACCAAGTTTATAACCAGTGGATTTTCTTGGGCTTGGTGCTTTTTAAGAAGGCCCAAGAGGCTTTGGTTATTACATTTTAAATTTGCAGGCAATGACTGACATTTTTGAATTGTACATATAAAAATTTAGTTCATCATTGTCATCATCTAATGCTGGTGATGATAACTGGTGTTATCTACGGGCCTTTACAGACTGCCAGAAATGGTGCAAATTGAGGCCACTTTAACTGTCCTGGCTCAGTGCTAGGGAATCATGGGAACTGTATTTTTTTCTGGGACATTGAGCCTTATCTGTCAGAGAGCTCTGGTGTCACAGTAAACTACAATTCCCATGATTCCCTAACAATGAGTCAGGGCAGTTAAAGTGGACTCAATTTGCACTATTGCTGGCAGTCTGCAAAGGCCCTACATCACACTGATTAACTGATAATATTTTTGTCTCATTTTACTTTGAGATAGCCTCTTAATTTAACATGTAATACGAATTTTGTGATGAACTAATTTTGTATTAATAAGAAATAGAAACGGTTGTCCTTTTTCTAATGAACATGGTGATTATATTGTGTCTAGCTAAAATACTGTCATGGGTTTTCTATTAGATTGTAATGAGTTGACTCTCATTGTGGGTTGCCCTGAGGCAAAGGGGTTTTGATAGCCGATAATGAACTGCTGATATGTCTCCATGGGAGCTAAGAAGGCCTAGGCTTAGCTGATCCTCTGAAGAGATCTCATCTGGATTCTGTCTGCCAGCCAGGAGAGAGGTCACAGTATCTCTGTGTGAAGAGAACAACAGATTGAAGTTTGCAGAAGACTTGAGAAAACACTCATCTATGATATTCTCTCACAGTTTGCACTCTGTATGCATTGTTGGTGCTGGCTGTCTTCCTTACCCCCTTGAACAAATCCTGCTAATAAAAACTCATGATGATGTTGCTTTAAGATTATCAAGACACACAACAACAAAGAAGCAAATTATAGGTCTAAAAAATCTGATGTAGGAGAAATAGATTTTTGGCTGTCAGTTGGAATGTTTCATTGATCGATTAATTGTATATTGACATAAATGCAATAATTTTAAAATAGAAATAAGCTTACTTTCAATTAAACTTGGGGCTCATTCCCACTTACATTTAACCCGGTTTGCGATTCGTTTTCACTCCGGTTTGGTGAATTGATTCCAGTCGATGCATCATTCCCACTATGGACGCGGGTCTTTTCTTTATTAGCTTTTTTTTTTCCAGCACAATTGTCATTCCCACTAGTTTGTGCCGGTTCAAAATGCCTGTCAATCATCTAAATGTCATCAGTGACGCAACCAGCAACACATTCAAGAAAACATGGCTGGGAGTCATGGGTGTCATGGAGGACTCTCCCCTGGGATCCAACAATTTTTTTAAAAAAAATTGACAGTATATGCACTCAATTATTTTTGCAATTATGTTTCTCGCTGAGCCACAGTCGGTCCGCTCTCCCGGCTCGCCACCCACAAATAATTGCAAATACCATGGAGCACATATATTGTCAATTATCACACACACGTGTGCGCGCGCACACACACACACACACACACATATATATATATATATCGTAAATATTGCATCCATAGGTCACACCACAAAGTACAAAGGCAGGGCTGAGAAGGGGGGAAATGATGGATTTCCCCCAAAACTGGTGAGGGATGTGCCAACCCTCTACCACAGTAATCCCTCCCCTTCAGTTTGATGCAACTCAGGTCCGTCGTTCCCACTTGCTGAACACGCTTGCTAATTGCTTCTTTTCAAAAAGACCAGCAAAAAAATAGTGTCCCAAAAGAGCGATTTTTTTTTAATTATTTGTCTTGTTTTAAAGCATGTCCAAACAATCGCAGTCACATCTAAAGCTGTTTCAAATGGGGTCGAGGCACATTTAAAGTGACCAGCAAATGGATGTAGATCACAATGGGAATGAGCCCCAGAATAGTTGCTTTTTCCCTTGGGACTTCTCACCACTCAGACAATGAAGCTGAGTGTAACAATACATTTCTTTCAGCAAATTTTCATGTGGATCCTTGTTTCAGGAAAGGACTTGTTTTTGCTGAACGTTGTTGTTGTTGTATGCCTTCAAGTCGTTTCCAATTTATAGCGACCCTAAGGCAACCCTATAGCAGGGTTTGCATGGCAAGATATGTTCAGAGGAGGTTTGCCATTGCCATCCTCTGATGCTGAGTGAGTGTGACTTGCCCAAAGTCACCCAGTGGGTTCTCATGCCTGAGCCAGGATTCGAACTCAGGGTCTCCAGGATCATAGTCGAATGTTCAAACCACTACACTGCTCTGGCTCCACAAACTTCTTTAACCCTAGCTCAATCATAGCTAAATACCATAGCTCATCATGTGGGTGATTTTGTACCTGGTTGACATGGGGAATAAATAAATATTATCACATGCAGTCAGAAAGTTCAGTCAGATTTGAATCCTTGTAAGTGTATAATTTGTGCAATCATTACCATATAGTAGATTTGGGTAGCATATGTTCAAATATCTTTGTTTTTATTTGATTCAGGATAATCAACAAGTAAATTTGAGACAATTTGGGACACGAACTTTTGTTCATTGTCAGAACGCTTGGATTTTCTGTAGTCTGGTACAGTGGTTTGAGTGTTGGTCTGGGACTTTGGAGAACCTCTACTCAGCCATGGAAACCCACTAGGTGACCTTGGGTAAGTTATACTCTCTCAGCCTAAGAGTAAGGCAATGGCAAACCTCCTTTGAATAAATCTTGCCAAAAAAACCAAATACCTTAGGATGAAATCTCTTCTAACTAAATCTTTTCAACAAAACCTTTTGAGTTGATATGAGGGAACATACCAACAACAAAGGCTATCTGGATCTTGAAGGTGAGAATATGATGGTGTCATAGTAAATCTTAAGAGTTTGCTTAGATCCTATATTTTTAATGTTGGTTTCTAGCACTTTTGAGGCCTCAAGTAGCAAGAACCAATACAAAATTCTGTAACTTGAAAATCTTACTCCTCTTTTGGGTAGACAGCCTGTGGCAAGCTGTTCTTCCTCTAATTTCTGGAGTAAAGCATTTAACAAGCAGCCTGGTAAACCCAATGGGAGACTGACCTTTTCTGTCATCACCGTTTTTTAAAAAATACTTTTTGTACACAGTTTGTAGCATGAAAGTTTCAGTATGTATGTTGTATGAATAAGATTCTTGTTTCTTCTTAGCTGTGAATATATCCTGAATCTGAATAAATGTTCCTTCCTTGGCAACAATAGGCGTATAACTAAAAATTTGATTGATCCTTCCCTATAAAAGAAAGCAAATATGCTCTAATGCAGACTATTTTTCGTCTTTGAAAGAGTGTGAATATTGACAATCCAACATTTGTTCTTTAAACTCATTATTCTTAACAGCTAACCCTCTGCCCCCTTTCTCTGTTCAGAGAACTAACCATGTTCATCTCTTGCAGCAATAGCCAACACTTTTTTCCCAATAATACAAACTTTTCTGGACAACAATTCACTTGATTTTTTTTTTAGCACAGTTAAACTCTCTAGGACTAATTGAGCCATTGCTGAGAACTAAATCAATGCCTCCTTAATACCGGAATCAAATAAAATTATGTAGCACTGAAACAGAACATTTCAGAAGTGTTATGAAATGTTCCTCAACTTGCACAGCATTACTCTATCATTGAACCAACAAAGCAGTGGCAATTTGCTTTTAAAAATCTATTGATGTCAAATATTAGTTTACGCAGCAGGAAAGAAGTATGATAAATCTTTGCATTGCCTATAAAGAAATGAAATGGTGTAATTGGCTTCAGTATGTATTGCTAAAGGGTGGCATTTTGACTAAAGCACTGAAAAGAATGTAAGAGCATTTAGCAACTCCCCATAACAGAACTGTTGTTCGGAAACTGCAGGAATTCTTTGCTTTCTCCCCGCGTTTTGTTTTTTGGCTCTTGCTATTTCTTTATGCCATTTAAGTTCTGCTAAGGTCAGAATTAATTAGGTGCAGAAGGTTGTACATGTGATGGAGAAAGATGGAAAAGCAGATCTGGGAACAAGGAAAGAACATATGTTAGCTAGGTCAGCATGTGCTGTTCTGTGCAGAGAATTTGAACTTAACATTTTACAGCATGTCTGGGCTCCATGAATCTTTATCACACACCCAGAACCTCTTGGGATTTTAAAAAATATTTATAAAATATCTCTTCCAAAACCTTACTTATATTTGTGACTCTTTTTTTAGAGGGGACACCGGTAAGTCACAGTTCTGGCTTCACACTCGGTGATCTTAGGCAAGTTATGGTCTTGCCAAGAAAACCCTGTGATTGAGTCATATTAGGATAGGAAAAGAGAAAGGCCACATTATAGAGGGATAGACTTAATCAAGGAAGCCAGAGCTCTGAGTTTTCAAGACTTGAATAGGGATGTTGATGATAGAGGGACATGGAGTCATAGGGTTGCCATAAGTCGGAGTCAAATTGATGACAATTAACAGCAGCATCAATGCATCCACCCTCATCACTCCTTTCCATATGTCTTTGTTGTCTAAAGGATATAAATGAAATACTGACAAACAGAACAGGAAAAACCTCCAACTACCAATGTCATCAATTGCATAACTATTTGATGCCTTCATGAAGGTATTTGAAACACATTGTCAAACCTGGATGCTAGAAATATTTCATTGATATGAAGTAAATGAATCTTAAATTGTACATTAATTGCTTTCTGAAATTTCTACCCTTATATTATTTATATTATATTATGTATATATTATATTTTTTTACTTAAACCTAATTATCATGAAATGATTACTTGCAAAAAAATCTGTACAGTTACAATGGCTAGCATTTACTGGAACTGTTTGTTGTAATCTGCTTTCATAAGATGTATGAAGCTGGGAAAGGTTTGCTTTCTGACATTTTGATTTCATGGATTTATTATAGGCCTCCTGCTGTTCAAACATAGCAGGTTTGACATAATGGTATAAAGAAGCATGTGTATGATTGATGAATTAGACTGAAGTCTGAAGCATCAGTGGGCGTCATCCAGCAGCAGACTTGGTGATCACTTCTCCCTGTTATGACCCCCCGACACACACACTCCCAAAACTGGTTTTGGTTGGTTGGAAACACTTCCCACCAAAGTTTTAGGTGGAGAGCTTCAGAGGAGAGTGGTGGAGAAGGAATTCCTATTCCCAGTACAATACTGGATTTAACAGTGTTAGAATATTAGAAATAATAGAAACAAATATTAGAAAATATTAGATGACAAAATGAGATTTTTCTTTCTGTACATCTAGAAGATCCACTTTGAGAGCCACTAGAGCTACCCATGGCTATAACTGGAATATTTCTTTGGAAAGGGAAGCTCAGTACCATATATTTAAAATGTGTTTAGGTAAATATGTATTTCTCTACTCTTAGAGAAAATATGTCTCACAAAACAGTGCAAGTTCACTCGTCCCGCTGCCACATTATGGCTTCTCTTAAGTCTGTCTTTCAGGTTCAGATTTAACAACTGCTAAAGTGTAGTCTCAAGAACAGATTTTACAGAAGTATTACATTTGACTCTTAGCTAATTTACATTTGGTTCTTCAACTGCAGGAAAAGATTAAGTATGGACATGAGAAATACCACTGGAAGTCACTAAATAGATAAGATCCTTTAACCTTTCTTGGCTAATGGTCATCTATAGTTTAGGAGGGCTGATAGAAGAATATTCTTTATTCCTCCACGTCTTTGTGTTTATGGGTGTGAAACAGCTAGTTAGTTACCTGTTCTTATTGCTCCATTCTCACAAGAATCAAGATCTAAATAGTTGGCTCAGCTTTTAGTTGGATTTGACAATTTGTCTAGACAACAAAAAATGAATTTCTAGTCAGGTCTAACAAAAAAGGGGGCTTTACTTCTATGGACGAACAGTTTAAGCAGCTTTGTATGGAATGTCATTCTATATTTCTTCAAGAATAAATAACTATCTTATTGTTTATAATAATATTGTTTCTTAATCTTCCTGATAAGTAAATTAGTGGTACATTTCTGTTAAAGCATTTTGTGTTTTTGTTCAGACTGGTCTAGACAATATGTACTAAAAAAAAAACCAATGGCAGGATTTTGGAACTAGGCTGCTTGTTGCTTAGCAGCATCTTTTGAAGGTGAAGAATATGAGGATAGAACAAATCCAACACTCACTTTTTAGAGGTCTGTCTAAACAGAAGATCATTTCAGTAGAAGATAGACAAGTTGGAGTTGGAGAAAAGCACAACAAGGATTATAAGAGGTATGGATAACAAAACTTATGAGGACAGATTGAAGGTGCTGGACACATTCAGCTTGGTGAAGAGAAGACTGAAGGGTGATGACATGACTGCACTCTTTAAATACTTCAAGGGCTGTAACAGAGAGGAAGGGGGGCCCCTGTTCTCTGCTGCCCCAAAGGGTTGGACCAAGTCTAATGGTTTGAAGTTACAGGAAGATGGATTTTGGACAAACATTAGGACGAACTTCTTGACAATGAGATTCAGCAACCAATTGCCTTGAGAGGTAGTGGGTTCTCCTTCTCTGGACATCTTCAGAGAAAGTCTGGACAGCTACCTCTCTGTTACAGCCCTTGAAGTATTTAAAGAGTGCAGTCGCCTCTCCCCATATGATCCCCCCCCGCGCCCTGCGGTCCTCTGGGAGGAACCTGTTACAGCCAATAAAAACTAGGCTGTCCCAGACCTCCCAGAGGGCCTTCTCCGCAACCACTCCCAGACTTTGGAATGGCCTGCCGGATGAGATCCGTCTTATCTCTACTCTTGCTGCTTTCAAGAAAGCAGCAAAGACGGATCTCTTTCGGCAGACCTTCCCGGAATAACTGTCGGCCCATAGACGAGTCCCATTAGTCTGGTTCCTATGTTATTTTGATTTTAATTTATTTAATATTGTATTTTAATTAGTTTATTGTTTAATCTTGTTTTAAGGGGATGGGAGGGGGGAGGATGGGGGAATAATTTTACGGTAACTTTGTTCTGTTTTAAATATTGTTGTTCCCCGCCCCTATTGCCATGCAGAGGGGCGGGCTATAAAAAAAATTAAAAATTAAATTAAATTACCTGCTTGGGGATGCTTTAGCTGGAAATCTTGCACTGAGTAGGGAGTTGGACTGGGTGGCCCATGAGGCCCCTTCCAACATTATTTCCTAAGAAGTTCTGAATAAAAATTCAGAGATTTGTAATAGTGTCTAGGTATAACATTTGACCCAAGAAGCAAAATACAGTGGGACCTTGGTATCCATAGGGGATCTGTTCCGGACACCCCCACAGACACCAAAATCT